TATGCAAAACAAGTCTAATATACCGCTTTTGTCGATCGCAATCTCCGGCTGGTGGGCTGACCAGGGTGCTATTACTTACCCTTGATACTTCAGTACATAGTAGGCGAGCTTCAAGCTTCATCCCTGATCCTTGGCGCGGCGGGCCGTTTCGCTCCGAAAGCGTACTATGTGCTCGTATATGTACTTATGTACAGTATGTAGAATGTGAATGGGTAGCCAAGACATGATCGATTTGCTACAGAAGAGTAGTATAGTACAACTTCCAAGTTGTGTGCATTGAATAACACACATCGACCCAAGCAAATGCAAAGCATAACCAATCCTAAAGCAGCGTAGAATGAATGGCCCCCAATCTGTAGTCATCAAACGCCTTGCTCCAATCAGACTTGAGGAGTTTTGCCGTGCCGCTTCAGGCTTATATGTTGGATTGCAACTGCATTACTATGGCAAAATTAGAAAATCCTGGTTGACTTTGTATGGAGAAGGGTCTCACCTTGACTGGACACGCCTCACAAGGTGTTTCCACCTTGACTGTGGCCAGGATTACGCCGTCGTGCCCGCGATTGCATTTTTGTTGGATCATCTGGCCTTTGGGACATAGCTGTTGAAATACCATCTGCGTATGCCCGCATTGGTGAGTGTATGCGTGGTAGAAACACATGATCTGTGTTGGTTTCGATCGTTGGAATCTGATTGATTGTGCTACTAGCGAGAGTGTTGTCTGTAGTAAAGTTGCAGCTTGTTGAATCTGACTTTATGAAGCCGTCTGAAGGGTGAATCTCTACAAAATTTCAGCTCAAGCGACGCTTGTTTGCGGACAGTGAAAGAGCTAGCACTGTTTGCTGCCTATGAAGGAGCAGTCGCAGTCGTACTGGGTGGGATTGGTCGGATTGTGATCCAAGTTAGTTCCCTTAGAAAAGGTATGTGAAATCGAGTGACAATATACAAGTGGATCTACAGAATGAAAGTTTCAGTAATTGCACGATGGCTCGACTGAGGACCGGTGCTATGTTCGGCTCTTGGGTGCATTTTGACCTTTTTATTTCACCAGATGTTCATCGCATTGGGCACGATCGTCTTTTGTCTCTCATGTCGTGCAGTTTGATGTATGCAAACTACCAAACAATCAGGATCCATCGTCCTTATCCAACAGTGCTGAACAATCCATTTTTGGGAACAATGGATACAAAGACTTCACCTCTGGAAGAGCCGGATGGAAGGTAGATGGCCAATCATCATGAGAGTTACAGGATGAAGTCGTACAGGGTCATTGGACAGTAGGTTGGCGTTTCTTTTGACTCGAATTATTTTTGCGGGAAGGCGGCTTCATGATGTTGTAAGCGAGAGCGGAACATCCGGGAAGGTGAGTACAAGGTAACTAGTTCAAGTGCCGTGTTCCACGAACGCATGCTTGTTGGCACCGATGGCTGTTCTGAGAGATGGACAAACGTAGGTCTCGGCCATAATGGGCGTTGTTCTCTCAGACTCGTAGCACTGTAGCAGCCAACACGCAAGTTTGTTGTTTGATTCGCAAGACTAGGCGGTTATTCGCGTATGTTAAGATTTTATGGGTCCCGTCTGGCCGTGCGGATGCAACAAGCAAGGGAATGCCTGAGGGGTTTTCTTGATCGGGGACCAAGGCTAGGGTGTCATAAGTGCTATCGAGATTGAATGTATAGTAGGTGTGCGAAGGGAATGAGTCAGCTCCCGGCCGCGATCTGTTGGCATTCTTGAGCAGGCCAGAGATCGGGGTAGGCCCGTCTTGTCCAGCATGTTCCGTGTCATATTTTCAGAGCATGTACATGTTTTGAGGGAGGGAGGGGGCTGGGGTAGGTGACGAAGCTTGATGTTTGCGAGGTATCGATAACATTCAGGCTACTAGTGTTTTCTGAAGCTTTGCATCCAATCAGGGCATGGTCTCACCGCCAATTCGGGTGGAGCCATTGGGGAGAAGAAGGCGGTGCCAGTCCTGCTTGGGAGTGCAGATGACGAGACGACAATAGCCTCGTGGCTGTCGATGGCTGCCAGGTGTGGGGGAGAGGGCTGGTGGTGTGCTGGTAGGGAGGGCAGGTAGTAGAGACAAGCGCGGCTCCATGGGCATGTTAGCCTTGTAAGTAGCTCGCTGCATCGCCAGCTGGGGACGTGCGGACGGCCTCGGGTCAACTTGTCGGTCGAGTAGACGAGGAGGCCAGGGACATGGAGGCTTCCCAGCGTGGGCATCGTCAGCGTGCATGCAGCCAGGCTCCACGGTGGGGTTGCAGAGGCCCATGAGAAGCAGACGGTGACGATTCGCAGCAGGGCGGCGAGGGTCGCTTGTGGCTGAGTGTCGAGGGCGTGTGTAGCCCCAAAGCGGGCGGCGTGGCCCTGGTGGCATAACAACGACTACATGGCCATGGTGCTATTAACAGGATGAGGCGGTGGAACGATGCGCTGGCAAACGGGTGTGGTGGTTCGTCTGAGACGCAGCTGCGGCACAGCCCTGCAGGTGTGTAGAGGTAGCGCAGCAGCGAGGGCAAAACTGACGTCGGTTGAGGGACAGCTGGCAACGCCTTGGCTGGAGTTGTTACGGGCAATGCAACCTGCAGCCCGGCGTGTATGTACGGACATTGATACAGCTTAGCGGAGGAGCTGGACGCTTGACACGTAGCCCACCATGGCTCGCCTGTCTGCCCATTGATGCTGGGCCGGCTGCACTGCGTCTCCACGACGCCGGGTGCGTCGAGCGGGTTCATTAATACTAGCAGCCGTTTCCCTCGGGTTCGCCCTGCGATTCTTCTCTTTTTGCAGCCGTTGTCATCCTGGGTGTTCGCTGTCGCCGGCGCTGTCACTGTCGCTGTCGCTGTCGCTGTCGCCGTGTGCGCGCAATTGCTCTGCGCACAGTTTGCTCGCAGTCAGTCCTCAACACCAAGGCCCCCGACCATCGCAGCGTCACCACCAAAAACTAGCAGCGCTCGCTCGCACCCAGCCCCGCGCATCCCGCAGCTCTTGTCGCAGTCACTGAGCGCGCGGTCAGGTCCGCCTGCTCGGCCGCGTCCCAGAGAGCTGCACTGACCGTGGCGGCCACACCGCCTGCCGACGTCACGGCCCTTTAAAGCGGTCGCATTGCCTGGCGCGCTGGGCATTGGAAATGCGCTGTCTGAGACACCAGGTCTACTACTTTTGCCAGCATCTCACCATCTCGACATCGACGCCAGACGTCTGCTAGTCCGCCGCACAGAGGGCCCTGCGTTGCCAGCCCCACTGCGCGCTTCCATTGGCTCGTCCAGCACGCCAACCGCCGAATAAGAAAAGGGCTCTGGGCCCGAATCACGACATTCGCTCCGCCTGCCCTGATAGAGACATTTCCATTTCAAGTGAGCTTCGCTACGCCATGTGGCAGGTTAGCACTCGACTACGTCGCTGACAGTTGTCCCAGACGTCACCCATAGTCTATCTACCCGAGCTTCCTGTACACCATTGCCATCTCTGCCACCACCACTACTATACCCACCTCAACAATTCCCCGCCCGCCTATATCTACAACACACGCCATTGTGCCATGGTCATCACTACGTCCATCGCCGTCGCCTAGTCAACAAGTCTCCGAACAGCGCTTCCCACATTGGTGCGTCATCACGGGAATCGACCTTCACTCATACAAGCGACGCGCACGGACGCCCGGTCAGAAGTGGACACTCATCGATTGGCCAGCACTCGTTGCTCTGGTTTCAAGTCTTACTTCGACTCGCCGCCATCATCCCAAGGCATCGTCGGTCTGCCTGGGCCGGGCTGCACTGTGTCTATCGTCTAGAGATACAGCGCGACGGTCCGGGTTGGCTGCTCCGGTAAGTGAGGACGAGGGCAAGGTTTCCATCATCACTCCACCAAGATAGCCCCTGTATACAATACATGCTCCGCATACCTCCGATTACTCCTGCTATCAGTGCCTTGTTGCCATCACCACCCCTTTTCGTGGCGTCCCCAGACTTACGACCTTTGACAGACGACGTTACTGAAAGATGGCTTCTCTAGACTTTGATCAGAAGTTTCTCGGCCGGATAGCCAAACAGACAGAGGAGTCAAACCCCTTCTTGTCAAGTGCCCTCTACCAGATCCTGGGTCTGTCGGTGCTCCTAGCCCGGAGGCTCATCCGTGCCAGAAAGCTCCGCAAGCTAGATACTAGTCGGGATACTCCCTCACTCTCAGCCTACCAGCATATCCTGTGGATGTCCCGCGAGGGCCTGTCCATACTCGAGCTATATGTCCTTCCCTATGCTCAGGATAACCAGCATGGTCCTGAGTGCAGAGTATTGAGCGTCAAGCTACGAGCAAGCTTCTATCACATCTTCTGTCTCTTCCACAACCAGCCACCGGTCACTGCGACCAACATGGCAAGCACTGATCCTCGCTATCCAGGCGCACCTCAGCCACTCTCACCTAAGAACGGCAATGCTCATGGTCGCAAGACAGATTCAGGCCTATCGCCCCCTTCGAAACGAGCGGGTAAACAACCGGTACTGCGTGAGCCCGTCGATTCCATCGTGTCCGAGACATCGTTTGTCACGAACCCATATGCTGCAGGAGGTCCAGTTGGTACTCCCTCACCAGGGCCACCCATCAACGCGCCTCCAGGCCTCAACCCCATTCCTATTCCGCAGCCCTCGTCTTTTATCCTTCCACCTCTCAACTTTGTACCCTTGGCGAGTGGATACTTTACGACCGCCACACAGTACGCCACTTCCTTTTTGCCTGGCTCACATCCTCTGAGATTGTCCGTCGCGCTTGAGCACAGTGCATTCTTGTGGGACTGTCTTCATGACCACGACGGATCCCGACGCGTCGCTCGGCGTGCGATCAAGGATGTTTACCGCGCGCAGGAAGCCATGGACGATAGCGAGTTTGAGGACGCTGCCGAGCTCGTGGGTATTCTGGGGCGAATGATGAAGCGTAAGAGCTGGGAAGGCACACCACGCGTCGGAGGGATGGCAAGTCCGGAACCTACTGCACAGCCCGCTGCACAAGCAAGCACCTCGGAAACAGCAACTCGAGCTGCTGCCCCTTACACACAGCGTACTCAGCAAAACAGCAAAAGGGTTGCTGAAGGACCTCCTCTGGCAGACGTCTTGATACCTCCACGATCATCAAGCGCAACGCGCAGTCGAGCAAACACGGCGAGCAAGTCTACCCCTCGCCAGAAAGAAAGCAGCAGTCACGAAGGGACACCAAAGTCGAGTTCGCGTCGGCGTTCGGGAAGCAGCAGCAGAGACGGCACTCCTCGCGCGAAGCACATCAGTGTAGAAAGCGGTGCCAGTACAACGCCTCGTGCGCCGCAAGGAAGTTCCATTCGCTCACCTACGACGCCGTCTACAGTTCGGACTTCGCACCGAACGTCGGGCAGTGCCGGCTCCTCGAAAGGAACACCGGTAGCAGGGACCTCGACACCCTTGACCCAAAGTGCAGCTGCAACACTTGTTTCCGAAAACATGCGCAACTCGCCATCGCTCCGCCGCTCACCCACCCTATACCCACCCGAACAATACGGCCCGCGCTATTCACCCTCGCAAGAGAGCTCATACCCGAGACAACGGAGGTGACTAGTAGAGACGGGTCGGGAAAAGCAAAGAAAGATGGAAGTGCAATGGACCGAGGGCTACCGGGAAGCCGACATTGTGCTTCTGCCATCGACGCAGCCTTCGTCGGTTTCCTCTACACCCGTGAACTTTGCGGGTCCCTCATACCCAGAGTATCCTATCAAGTTTCGCATTTAGCTTTTGCCAGGACGCGCGTACATATGCCTCCCCCTTTGCAGCCAAAGCAGACGAACTTGCCACCTCCATCATCCCCTCCCGTCGCAAGATGTACAGAAGAAAAGTCATATCCCTTGGATTCGTGTACCCACGATCCACTTCCGACATATCCATACCTTTGTCGTACCCTTGACACTTTGTCGTCGTTTTGTACTATAACAAGCAGGCGTTGATTGGGCGTACATACTTTGTTTTCTCTCTCTCTCTCTCTTTTCCTATTCACCCTCAACCACATGTGTGATTGCACTCTTGCATTGTAGCATACAGGAATCTCGTTCGTCAAGAGCTCTAGGCTTTTTTTATTCTCTCTTGCGAAGATAAAAATGGGAAGCAGACTTCCGGCTGCGCAATAATGTCTTGTACTTTTTTTCTTCCTTTTCTACCGATTGTTTGTTTGTTTAATTCTGTTCCGTTGGCGCTGGAGGAGGCTAATCTAAGAAACTCGCGCTTTGTGGCATTGGAATAGGGTTGCCGTAATGATACCATTGTGTTGGTTTGTGCATTTTCCTGTAGATTTGAATGTGGAAATCGATGTAATGCTTTATATGTTCAAGATCTGATCATGGAATATCTACTTGATGGCATTTACTGAGGTGCCTTGTGTGTAATCGCAACTGTTCGCTATGATTTGTGGCGTTTCTAGCCCTGACTCGAATCCTAACCCGAAGGTTGACTCCAGCGCCCTAACTCTGACCCTGGCCCTGACCTCTATACCCGGCAAAACCGGAAAATCAAAACAACTAGGCATTGCCCACCAAAACTCATCATCAACACCACGAAATATT